CGCTAGAATAACTTCACTCATAATTTGCAGTTCTGTTTTTTTTTTCATAATACCGTTGCTTTTTCGAAATCCTGCCCAGTACTACAGTGATGTGTTAAAATGCAAATGGCATATTAGCTGTGCTGTAGAAGCATGCGACTGTCGTGTAGAAGAGCCGATTTCGATTATGCGTGCTGATATCTTTGTACACGTGTTTTGGCCATAGGTGATCATGCACACACTTCGTGCGAATGGGGAAAAAGGAGAAATACTGCTGCTGCCTCAAAATTCGGCAGATTCGCGACCGCCACAGCGCGCTTCATCTCTAGGTTTGAAATATTTTCTTTTAACTGCAGATGCCCATTTTGCAGCCACCCTCTGATCCCGAGGAAACTTGTGAAAAGCGACCTCATCACGACTGTAAGTGCTGCGGCAGCCATATGCCGCGCAGTAATTCGGCATCGCGAGTCCACTTTAACCTTGCGCAAACACAACTAGTGAAGGTCAGATGGCGAAAATTTCTAATCAGAAGAGAATGAAGCAATGGCGAGAAATCCCAACAAACTAGCAGAACTGATGCTTCGCCAAGCAGCAGATCGCAGCAGAAACACGGCACAACCACCAAGTAAATTAGCTGAGATGACTGAGCGACGCAGGCTGCTCGGCGGTAAGATGCTCCCCGGTTGGCGGCTCGGCCCTGACAGTGACGTCACCTCCCCACTTGTCTATCTCTCCCGGCTCCGCCCCTGCACTTCCGTGTGCCGGAGGGGGGGGGGGGGGGGTCCCTCGGTCAAAGTTTGCTGGCTGATAGCGCCGCTGTTTATTCGAACCTCTCGAAAAAAAACCTTCGCAGACATGTTGTAAAAGGTCGCGGATACCGAATTCGCAAGAAATTCGCGAATTAAAAACCTCTACAGCGTTCCTCAAGGCAAGTTGGCAAGCAATCACCAAGCACCGGCGTGGTTCAGTGGTAGAATACTGGGCTGCCTCGCAGCGGACCGGAGTTCGAGCCCCAGTTTGTTCTTGGTACTAGTTTATTTTTTTCATATTTCGCGATAGTGGTTACAGGCTCCGGCGGCGGTGGACAAATATATATACGGTGCCGCGCGTGCCCCAAGTTTTGACCTCATCACAGCTTTCGCTGCAATAAAACAAATGTTTTTGCTCATGACACATCGCCATAGTTTTGTACGTTCACAGCGTTGAGAGAGACTTCCCGTGAAACACGTAACGATGATAGTTATCAGGCCATCTTCTGGCAGTCAATGCGTGAGTTATTCAAGGAAAGAGCTGATAATTTTCTTACCTTGTTGGAATTTTATCTTACTTCGACGTTCATTAAATGAAACAATGATATTCTTTTGCAAAAGCAGGGTATATGTATCGGCTCTTGCATCGCGCCTGTCTTGAGCAATCTGTTTCTGGCAGAACTTGATAGAATTGTGGCATGTCGTCTCGCAGATACGACGGCTAAGAAAGTGTTCCGATATGTAGATGATTTTATTATTTTTATTGACAGCTCGGGGGAAAATTTCCAAAGTGAGAGTACTAGTGTGTTGAATATGTTTCGTGATGGTCTTAAACTACTTGAAGTGACAGTAGAATGGCCTAGCGACGGACGAATAAGGTTTTTAGATTTAAGTGTTCACTGTCCTGACAACCAGCTATGCTGGTGCTATGATCCGCGTGCTCAGAAAGCTTTACTCCCATTTCATTCCGGTCATTCCAAACTAACCAAGAGAGCCATCGCAACGACTTGCCTCAAAAACGCATTGAACAAGTCATGTGCGCACCTTATAAAGCAGAGCTTCCATAATCAGATCACACGTTTGCAAGGATCGAGCTATCCGGATCATGTTTTAGTTTCAGTTGCGGAAAAAGAGTTGAAAAGTATTCGTGCAAGTTCAAGCCAATATAATGTTCATGTTGATTCACTGGCACAATCAAGACGCACGGCCATAATTCCATATGTTCACCAGCTGTCACATAACCTAAAGAAAGGGGCACTTCGGGACAATATTAGGGTGCTATTTTCAGTACGTGATAAACTTGGGAAATTGTGTGTGCTGACGAATCCGTCACGTGAGGAAAGGGTGTTGTGCACAAAAAGGCATACTCGCAAATTTGTGGAGTGCATTTCTTTCGTCATTTATCTTATTCTGTTCACATGTGGGAAAAAATATGTCGGCCAAACCAGTAGGTGCGGGAATGAACGATTGAGAGAACACAATTACAAGGCGGATAAACTGCCGCCAGAAGGTTTTCTCGCTCTTCACATTCACGCGTGTGGGTGCCGGCCTTTGTTCCAGGGTACAATCATTGTTGGTCAGCATAAGGATGAGATGACTCGGTTGATCATAAAAGCCGAACTTATTGATGCTTTTGGAGATGTATGTATCAGCAAGCTTTCAATTGCTTTATCACCCAAAAAACTGGTGTTCCTGCGTACGCAGTGATACGTGATTTTATCTGTGATGTTTTTTTGTTGTTGTCCTATTTATCGTTTTTTCTTGTAGGTAGATGACATTGTCCTGCATTTATCTGAATACACGTGATTATCTGCTTGCTCGCCTGACGATTGTGGCTTAAAAGCGGCTTGGAGGTCGAAAATAAACATGTTGTTGCTAGTAGCGCTCTGTCCTCTCAGTCTATTCCTTCCTGTGTCCGTTTTTTAGCCTCGCGCTACATAAATTTCTTTCTCACCAACAAGACAATATATAGGCTTCATTTCCTAATGAAGAGCCAGCATTATTTGCAAAGTGGAAGACATAAAAGAATGAAATTGTGTTAATTGAGACATGTATTGTAATAAATTGCAGCGTTTACATTTCGAATTTCTTTCTGCACAAAAATCTTGCATCAGTTCCACAGCGTGATGGTTGTGTATGTAGATTGCAGTGATACCCTGTAAAACAACTGGTCCGGGTTTGGACGTCATCTGCTCCACACGTATCCTCCCGACGTCCGAATAAATCTAATGAGTACTTTCTTTTTCTTCTGTTGCAAGATACATCGCATTATCTGCATTTATATTCCGCTACTGGTACGCTATTTAGGGTAAAGTTACTGCGATTTGCAAAAAAATTGGCTGATATATCTATTTTATTGTATGTTCTGTTTGCGACATATCTCGATATGCCGTGTTTTATTAATTGTTTTACTCGTGTATGTAGAATGCATTTTTGTGCTTCTTTTTGACTTAATGAGCGTTTCTAGATTTAAATATGTTCTTGTAAGTTAGTCTTGTGGGCAAAATAATTATTTATCAACGAAGTCGGCGTGTAGCGAATAAAAGTGTTGTCGTGTGAACACGAGCACTAACAGTATATCTTTACATCTTAGCCCAGCTACATTTTTAGCAAATAAAGTTCAGCCACGCGTCGCACACTGAAACGATAGTTCTCCGGTTTCAAAAAGCGATCCCACTTAGCCATGAGGGCATGCAGTGACATAAAGTGTTATAAAATTACAGAGACGCACCACGGAAAACATAATTATCGTATATTTGCACCGCATGAACGTAGTTCCGAAAGTTTAGATGTATTAACGTGCTCATACCAAAACGAGCAGCCAATAGTGCTACAAGCACCGTGTCCGCAGTAGATAGAAAGCCGCGGCCACCGCGGCGGGCAGGCATCTTACTGCGAACCGCAGAGCGGATCGCCTTTCGCGCCGCGCTCGCGTCACCTCCTCCTCTAGCCACCATTAGCTGAAGCGCCGTGCGTTGCAGCTCCCATAGACACTAGCGCCAGAGTTCTTTCTAGTGTAGATTTATGAAACTGCATGCTTCCGTAAAAAGGGTGCACTTGTACGGGGCAGTATACCATTTGGTGCCCCTGATGTGGCTCTTTTTGCGATGACGGCCAGCACTGCAGGAGCACACCATACAACTTTGTGGGTATACTTGTAGGGGCCCTCTGAAGTATATTATACCTGAGATACAAAGCCTCTGAGATTGGTACTTGTAGTTGCCGCACAGGTCGTGAAATGTATAAAAATGATTTTAAAAATGTATAAGGTAACGGAGAACTACGTCCTTGAGCGTTATTTTTTCAACAGCGCGACTGCTTACTCTCCTAGCTCATGCAGGCAAGTAGCCGTGAAAATCGTCCGCTGATAACGTTATCCTCCAGCGCCTCCTCGTTTGTTTGGTCGCATGACTTCAAGTTAGTGTGATAGCTAGACAGGGGTACGTATAGATCAAACGAATAGCAATGTGCTTTATTTATTCTTTCTGCCGTTAAAACAGTAAGCTAGCAGGCTATCTGAGTACCTGTTCTGCGATGGCAATTGTGGGAGCTCGACTACGCAGAAGCAGCATTATTTATCTCATTGATGCGTCCATATGTATCGTATATGTTTTAATCTTAAGTATGCTTTTAATTTCAATTGTGTTGTGTGATCATTTAACTCAAAATCTTCACAAAAGTCAGCAATGCAAACTTGAATTACGCGCACTAGACACAGCTAGCGTTCGATGGTGGCGTTCTACGGATTGCGTCATCGCAAAAGTGACCACCACTGTCCCATTGCTTTGCTGTGGAGATGCCACACTACCTAATTCTAGTACACCGTACTATAGGTATCTACCGCTGAGAACGGCACACTTGCCAACCCTTCCCTTGCTGCCGGACTGCTGTTCGTGCTGAAGACGTCTGCGTCATTGCTCTACTAACCTTTTTTCTCTCCTATTCACTTTTCTGCCATTCCCCCGTCCCGCAGGCGCTGCGCCGTGAAACGAGGCACCTTCTTATTTTTCTAACTACTCTGACTACCCCTGCTGCCACCCTGCGCAAAGCGGAGGCAACATGGAGGGCAATCGGTGAAAAATATTCTGTACACTGTACCTCTGCTAACTCGTCCTATTTTACTGGTACCCGCGCAGAAAATAACAGAGCTTTATTTCAAAATAAATATTTCTTCCTTCATGCTGGCATTGGTGGCACTGAAAAAAAGACGGCGCTACTGGAAAAGATCCGTTGCGTCATTTTCGACGTCATTGCAACCGTGTGCAAATAGAATATGGTGGCTGTCAGGTTCGATTGAAAGCTACACGTACGTTGGCACTCTCCAGTCATTGGCTTTTGCAAGATGTGGGGACCAATGGGCAAGATGTTTGTGCGAAGTCTGCTTCTCTGCCTGCGAGCTCCCAAAGTGCCTTGGAAGCGTTGTCAACGTTGCTGTGCGGGGTACGTGGGTGCCGTCGCAGAGGGCCATCATCAGAAATTGCGAAGATCGTTCTTCTGGGGTGCCAACTGCGATCAAGTTCATTGCCGCAGGACCACTTGGATTGTATGTGTGAAGAGGATGTCGACGGCTACTGATTTTAAATGTTGCCCTCAAACTGTATGTGTGTCTGCATGGCCCGAAAGTAATGACAAGATCCGGGTGCCTGTCACTGAACTCCAAGGCCGTATGCTGCTTTCGTTCCTTTGTAAACTTTGCTCAACACGAGCCACGAAGCTGATTTCGAAGGTCTCCTATGAGAAGGGCGTTGTCGTCATCAAGTGCCACGGTTGCAGCAAGCACCACCTCATTGCAGATAACCTGGGCTGGTTTCCCGAACCCGACGGCAAAAGGTACGTTTTGACGATTGTGACTAGTACAGGAGTTAATTTAGTTAAAACAGATCGAAAGAAAATATACCTGAGGAATGCGCGGCAAGTACACTTTGGTCACTTATCTTGTTCCTGTGCAGTGGTATTGAATTACAATGTAGCGGTGAGCAGTCCGAACGTAGCTGCTCGCCTATTGTTTAAGCGACGCAGTGCCCAACCAGCGGGGACGAAAAATTCCTGGCCTTCTACGAACACGCTCATGGCGTCTATTCTGCTGCAGAAGAGAAATATAATGGTAGTGAATAATGCGTTTGTCAGAAGTTGTTATAGCGCACATTATATTGATACAGTATGACAAACTAAAAACATATTGTAGGCCACGACATTTCTTCTCGAGTACTTCACATGCTGAGGTGCCAAAGGTGGGGCTGGTAAACTTTATGTTTATATATGGTTTGTGTATTTGTTATGTACATTCTATTACAGCGTGCTTTGAAGCATTTCAATAGACTTTTCTAACTTGTTTTTCTTGAAACATGGATATTTTGCAAACTGTGCTACTTTTATGTTCGGTTTTATGCTGTTTTGTCTACTTACAGGAACATAGAAGAAATCTTGGCATCGAAGGGCGAAGCTGTCCGTAAAGCACTTTTGAAAGATGAGATCCTTGAAGTCATGGATCCGTGAACGACGGGCCTAAACAGCATCACGCTAGACTTTATTTCTAATTGAAAAACTGCTATCAAAATTTTTGCTAATGGAAAGCTTTTCAGGATTTGCACTACAGCTGAAGGTGCTGTGCTGCAGGAACTTGAGTAAACGGAGCATTATTTTTTAATTTTATTTGTGCCCTCAGTTTTACAAGGAAGCAGTACCCGTTTTTTTCTCTCATAAAAAATTGCAACTGTTCTGTCTTCTGTACGAACTGTCATGATGAAGTTTAATTTTTTTGCTTCCGTGTATAACTTATAGTGACTCTTGGAGCTCCTGGATTAAAGATGAAACAGCCGAGTGAATTTCTTGACTCATTTCACCTAACGTAGGCTGCTTAGTTCTTACTCAGTTGATGTGAATCGTATGCATATTCTGTGTAATTTCTAGCAGGCATATTTATGAAAGCTCAGAGAGTTCTAAAAAACTCTTGGGACACAGTAAAATTATGGTATCTTGTATGTTTTGGCCTCATATACTGGTGTAAAAAGTTAGGGGAGCCTAAAGCTTCGCCTTAAGGAGTTGAACCCGGTAGCGGCATTCCGTTTTTAGTCAGCACTTCAGACATTTAGTGAACTCCTTTTCGAATTTGCTATGCATCCACAACGTGGCCTTGAGAGAATAAGCGCAGTAGCGTGTGTGCCTTTTGTAGTGGGGTACCAGCCTTCAACAGTATGGAGCCATTATGATAATCACATATTTTGACGCCCGTTGGCAAAGAACGCTCGTACCACGCATTATTACTGCAATATTTCATACTGCGTTGTGGAGCATGTATACAGGACGCGTGTAATTGTGAAGCATGAAAGCTTCTTTCAGTGCATTTCCAACCAGAGGAAGTTCTTTTCAATGCGTTACAAGCAGAGGCGTGGCCGTGATGTAAAACATCGGTTTGTCACTCAAACGACCCGGGTTTTATCCCCACTTGAACCCAAACAAGCCTGGTTCGGTACCAACTATGCTGACGCCCGAATCTCTGCGAAACGACTTCTTTAACGCTGTCGCGTTAAAAGTTCTAGTCAGTACCATATCACTGAAACTTGCTTCAACTACATGAATAAGCCTTACAGAAACTCTCTCTGCAAGCATTTTTAATCAGAATATTGTCAGTGTTGCACCTTAATTATCGTAGACGTTGCCATGAGGGGTGGGGGCGGGAGTGAAGTCTGGGATGATTGATCTCCCCCACTAATTATTAAGATTTACTTGAATGCAAATATGTACACATAAATACATATAGGACGCTAGGACATGTCGATTGAAGAACGATTCTTTCTGTGGTTTTGTTATTCAGTAAAGATTTTGGTGTTTTGTTGCCCTGAGTAAGTAAAAAAAAAAAACCCCGTGGAGCGTAACCAAGTGTATTCTTTAGAACTTGGAACTGGCACACTTCAATACAAAAAGTCAAATGTTTGTAATTGTGTATTTTGGTCTTAAAGGCGGCTGTTGGGCTATGTATACGTGACCATTGTATATGCTGTTGAGCTATACATATGTGACCATGTGAGCTATGTTTACGTGACCCCACACCCTGATCTTTGATTGGTACTTCAATTCCTTAGGAACAATGCCCTGAAAAACTGGCACCAAAAGCCGCCGTCTACATCTTCGGTATGGACGCCAGTGTACAGTTGTCCTCTCATCTGCACCCCTTTATTTTCCTCTTCCAATTTCAATTGGTACGCTGGGATGTGCTCCCATTTAGTGTTGCAGAAATAGCGTTTTTTCCTCGTCTCCTCCGCTCACTCATGCAACCACTCGCTCCATGTCAGTGCAAGTGCGTAAGGTGGCCGGTGCGACCCATTTCACGGCTGCTGGTGGTTGTTTAGGTAGTTTGTTGAAATAGAAAGCTCGGTTAGGGCATTGCGTGCGTGGATGATAGGCGTGATGACGTCACGTGAGTCACTAGTGATCAAGTCACTAAGCCGAGTGACAGGGTTCAGTTTATTACTCTTTCGAAAACGTTTGATTTTATATGCATTACGGCAGGTTAGCACATTGCGTGCGTGGGTGATAGGTGTGATGGCATCACGTGAATCACTAGTGATCAAGCCACCAGGCAGAGTGATAGGTATCACGTTATTGCTCTCTCAAAGACGTTTCGTTTGATATGCATTACGGCACATTGCGTGCGTAGCTCACAGGCATGATGGCGTAACGAGAGTCACTAATGATCAAGTCACTAGGAAGAGCGACAGGGTTCACGTTAGTACTCTGTCAAAGACGTTTCGTTTGAGATGCACGATGCCAGGTTAGAACAATGCGTGCGTGGCTCACAGGTGTGATTACGTCACCTGAGTCACTGGTGATCAAGTAACTAGGCTGAGTGACAGGGTTTAGGTTATTACTTTTTCAAAGGCGTGCCGTTTGATATGCATGACGGCCGTTTACGACATTGCGCGAGTGGCTCACAGGCGTGATGACGTCACGTGAGTCACTTGTGATCGCTTTTCTTCACTGATTGATAGTGAGTGGCGTATCACCATTCGAAAGGCATTTCATTTTAAAGGGATGTGGGCAGCTCAGAAAAGTGCATATGGGCATCAGAAGTGACTTCAATCTATTTCGGCCACTACCGATCACCTGCTAAAGTACATCAGTGAGCTGTCATTCGTCACTAGTGATCACGTCAAGTGGATGTGCAATTGAAAAACAATACATTTTACACCAGCAAATTACATTGATCGATATGCATAGTAAAAAGGATGCAAATTGAGATAGGCAAAAACTGCATGTATGCACTAAGAGACAAGGAAGGCAAAGCAACTACCAATATAGATAGGATAGTTAAAATAGCAGAGAAGGTTTACAGAGATCTGTACAGTAGCCGGGAAAACCACGACCATAATGTAAGAACTAGCAGTAACCAAGATGACATCCCACCAGGAATGACAGAAGTAAGAAAAGCCTTGGAGGGAATGCAAAGAGGCAAAGCTGCCGGAGAGGATCGAGTAACATCAGATCTACTAAAAACGGAGGACAGATTGTGTTAGAACAACTAGCCACCCTGTTCACGAAGTGTCCCCTGACGAGGAGAGTACCAGAATCTTGGAAGTATGCTAACATCATCTCAATACATAAGAAAAGAGATGACAAGGACTTGAATAATTACAGGACGATCAGATTGCTCCCAGTAGTGTACAAGCTATTTACAAAGGTAATTGCTAACAGAATTAAGACATTAGAATTCAATCAACCAAAAGAACAAGCAGGATATTTAACAGGCCATATTTATATTATCAATCAGGTAACAGAAAAATGCTCAGAACACGGCCAACCACTATCATTCATAGATTACGAGAAGGCATTTGATTCAGTAGAAATACCAGCAGTCATGCAGACATTGCGGAATGGTGGCGTCGACAAAGCATATATAAACATCCTGGAAGAAATCTACAGAAAATCAACTGCCACCACAGTGCTTCATAAAGAAAACGACAGAATACCAATCAAGAAAGCTGTAAGACAAGGGGATACAATCTCCCCAGTGCTATTTACCACGTGCTTACAGGAAGTCTTCAGAGGCCTAGAATGGGAAGGGTTAGGGATAAGAGTTAGTGGAGAGTACCTTGATAACCTGCGCTTCTCGGATGACATTGCCTTGCGGAGTAGCTCTGGGGATGAATTGCAACTCATGATTACTGAATTAGACAAAGAGAGCAGAAATGTATAGGCATGAAAATTAATCTGCAGAAAACGAAAGTATGCCCCGCCGCGGTGGTCTAGTGGCTAAGGTACTCGGCTGCTGACCCGCAGGTCGCGGGTTCGATTCCCGGCTGCGGCGGCTGCATTTCCGATGGAGGCGGAAATGTTGTAGGCCCGTGTGCTCAGATTTGGGTGCACGTTAAAGAACCCCAGGTGGTCAAAATTTCCGGAGCCCTTCACTACGGCGTCTCTCATAATCATATGGTGGTTTTGGGACGTTAAACCTCACAAATCAGAAAAGGAAAATAATGTACAACAACCTCGGAAGAGAGCAGCACTTCGAGATATATGCAATAGTGCACTTGAAGTTCAAAAGACTCCGTCTACTTATTACAAGTAGTAACCGCGGAGCCGAACCACGAGATTGAACTAGAAGAAGAGGAATGGCGTGGAGCACTTTTGGCAAGCACTTTCAAATAATGACGAGTAGATTGCCACTATCCCCCTAGAGAAAGGTATACAACAGCTGCATCTTGCTGGTACTTACCTACGGAGCAGAAACGTGGATGCTTACAAAAAGGGTTCAGCTTAAATTGAGGGATGGAAAGGAAAATGGTAGGTGTAACCTTAAAAGACAAGAAGAGGACAGAGTGGATCAGGGAACAAGCCGAGGTTAAGGATATCATAGTTGAAACGAAGAAGAAGAAATGGACATGGGCCGGGCATGTAGCGCGTAGGCAGGATAACCACCCGTCATTAAGGATAACTGACTGGATCCGATTCCCAGAGAAGGCAAGCGGGTTAGGAGAAGAAAGAAAGTTAGGTGGGCAGATGAGATCTGGAAGTTTGTGGGTACCAAAACGCAGCATCAAGCACAGGACCGAATTGAATGGCGGATCGTGGGAGAGGCTTTTGTCGTGCTGTAGACGTAGTCAGGCTGATGATAATGATGAAGGATGCAATTGATAAGGCCTCGAACAATCCAACTCACGCGATATCTTTCGCGACTGTAATCCACTCATGTGAGTCACTTGTCACTTGAAAACGCACCTAGCAACGAAGAACATGAGTGGTATAGCACAAGTGATGACGTAAATAAGTAGCCTCAAATAATGACACTTTTGAGGTACTCTTTTGTAAATGGCTCTGGGTGTCTGGCTGTTGCGTGGCTAGTTTCATCATTACCGAAGGATTTGGGCTAGAGAAAGATGAGGACGAAATTTTTTGTTTCATCCATTCCTGGGCCAACGCGTTTGAACGTACGGGACATGTCTTGGACAGACATAGCCACGTTTTCACTTGGCTTCTGAACGCAGCTCGGAAGAGCCGGCTACCTGCTCGGCTTTCTCTTTCCTTTCGGGATTTCTCAATGCCTGGATTAGGTGTCGTGGAAATTGTGGCCAGTTGGTGACAGACGTCCCATGGTTCTCAAATCAAGTACTAGGATAGTCTTCAAGTGTGAAGTAGACGTAGCGAAG